CAAAATTTAAACAAAACCACAGAGCACACAAACCAAATTGTTAGTTAGGTTGTAGAGCAATTAGTAGTAGTCAGATAAATGTAGAGAATATAGTTTGTAATGAAAATTAAAAAATATTATAAAATTATAAAGATAGAATAGTATACGGTTTTATATTAACTCTAGTTTCTTTGAAGTTTATAAAAAGCATTTTTACAGTTTAGTTTACAGTTTTAGTTTTTAAAAAGCATTTTAAAAATATATATCTCCTTCACAAATCCTTCAATTTAATCGCTGTTAGTAAGAAGTTTCACTTCAAATATGCGCACATAGAGCACAAATATATGTATATATTTTTTAAATTAATCACAATTTTTTCTAAAAAAAATGATTAAAAATGATGAAACAGTTTTTGTTGAACCTTTGGCATAAAATCATTTCAAATTTTTGGTTTAAGTCTAATAATGTTGTAATAATCCTGTCGGCATGTTGTAGCGAGTTTTGGCAAGAATTTTTTTTTAGGTAAAAAACCGCGGAAATGTATATTTTTTCACTCAGTAGTTTAGTTTGGTTTGATTTTATTCAGGCACTGACAAAAAATTATTACACTTCAAACCAGTTAAAAATATGTAGGTGGCGCCCCAATAAGTATTATCTGACAAACGAATCTAAAACAGCGGAAGGAATTCGGGCAAAAAAAGTCGATGTTGTCACGTTTAATTATAGAAAAGCAAAGTTGCTCGATATTACCTATAAATTGAATATATTTTAGTTCACTTCAGCATACATAATTATATATATGCTAATATGTTGACGTAGTCCTTATTATAATAATGTGTATTTATCTAATTAACAGTTTTCGTTCGTTCTGCCATTGTTAATCTAAGGTTCTGCCTATTATAAAAGGTAAAGTATTTCCTTAAGATAATGTCCGCTTAGGGTCAGCTGGCAACGCTGACAAAATTCATCATGGCATCCCGGATTCAACCAGTCTGATTGGTCGAGATTCTCGCACGTCTTGCCGCCATTACCCCCAACTTTATGCCCCTCTCTAGGAATAGTAGAAACAGTCACTACCATTGAAAAATCCAGTGGCGGTGTTATTGTATTGTGTTTTATGTCTTTAACTTGATTTGTGTTTATTGTAATTAGTACACGCGTTTTAACAAATATTACTATATTTGGCAAATGACTAAACAAAATGTAGGTACATTTAAAGTAAAATAATATTATAAACTTTACTGGATAATATTATAAAAATTCCTGATATATTTTTATGAAACACCGCACGCTCGTGGATATTTTATGAATGAAATCGGTCATGATTTTAGAAAATTGCGATCCCCTCACCGTTGCCCCGTTGTTTCAGATCCGTTTGTCAGACTGTAGGAGTAATACTGTTAAATAAGATTTTGTCTAGCTAAATGTCACAAAATATATATGTAATATTTTTATATCAATTAAATATAAATTATTTTTCGTTTTTACTTTGTTGATTGCCTCTTCTAAAGCGGCCCATACATTATCAAACAAATTGCGCAACAAAGCGATGTGCAGCTTTGCGTTGCACAATTGCGTTACCCATGCACTTGGTAAAAAAGTTGTGCATTGTTCGAGAAAAATCATGTCCTCCATTGCCATTGCGTCAATAATTATGATATATACCCTAGATGATGTCGATGATACCAAAACAGGAAAAAGAAACCTTAGAATTTGGATAAAAGAACTAAAATATTGCACAACGTAGCTCAACACACACATACACTACACAACGCGTTGCGCAGAGTCCTGTTGCATAAAAGAATTCAAACATTCTTGAAACTTATCAAACAATTGCGCAACGCATCAAACGTTATCATAGATACAACGCATCAAACGTTGCCACACATTGGCAAGTCGTTGCGCAACCAAACCAAACCAAACTTTTTATTAAAAATTGTGCATTGTTCGAGAAACAATCATGTTCTCCATTGCCATTGCGTCAATAATTATGATATATACCCTAGATGATGTCGATGATACCTAAAAACGAAAAATAAATCTTAGAATTTGGATGAAAGAACTAAAATATTGCACAACGAAGCTCAACACACACATACACTACACAACGCGTTGCGCATAGTCCTGTTGCATAAAAGAATTCAAACATTCTTGAAACTTATCAAACAATTGCGCAACGCATCAAACGTTATTATAGATACAACGCATCAAACGTTGCCACACATTGGCAAGTCATTGCGCAACCAAACCAAACCAAACTTTTTATTAAAAATTGTGCATTGTTCGAGAAACAATCATGTTCTCCATTGCCATTGCGTCAATAATTATGATATATACCCTAGATGATGTCGATGATACCAAAAAACGAAAAATAAATCTTAGAATTTGGATGAAAGAACTAAAATATTGCACAACGAAGCTCAACACACACATACACTACACAACGCGTTGCGCAGAGTCCTGTTGCATAAAGGAATTCAAACATTCTTGAAACTTATCAAAGAATTGCGCAACGCATCAAACGTTACCATACATACAACGCATCAAACGTTACCATATATTGGCAACTCGTTGCGCAACAGCCTGTGTTGCGCAATTTGTTTGATAATGTATGGGCCGCTTTATAATAATATTTCTGCGTGAAGCTGCAAAAAACAGAAAACCATTTAAATGGTCTAATAAATATTTACTAAGCTTCTTACATCGACCTAGTTACATTTGCCTCTCTTTAGCAAGTTTCTTTTCTGGTATTACATCAAATAATAATTTTTATATAAATAAAAAAATAAATTCTAATAATTTTTCCTTGATAAATACCCACTTCAAAGTAGAGAGAAAAATTTTGATTGCTCTAGCGAACAATAGTCTTTTAGGGCTTGATAGGGCTTTAAAAGCTTCTTATTATAGATTATGAGCATATGACGTTCGTTCTCAATTTGTCAGCATATTTTCTAAGCCGATGGTAAATATTTTTAATGATGTGCATGAGTATTTTTAATGAAATGTCATAATTTTTCTTGAAATTACACAAAAACAATTTTTTATTATTATAAGCGTTTAACAGCCATTAAATAATATGGCATTTTATTTAATTATCAATATACTGGGTGCGTCTCAAAAGTGACTCACCCCTATAACTGAGATTTGGTATGTTAGTATATGACATAAATTAGGATTGATTGGCGTATTCAATTGTTTTCTGTCACTTCATATTATGTCAATTTTTGACATTTTTGCTTAAAATAAAATTGTATTTTAAATTTCAATCTAGAGTGCTATAAAAACACTAATTTTTAATCAAGGAACCTTGGAAAAATAGATTTGATCGTCTAATGTTTTTAGTGTCTTGTCCGGACCGATTAAATGATGCCCAAATCGTATTTTTAATCATATCTCTATTTGTTCAAATGGAACAAGGGTCGCTCATTAGCATTTTTGGAAAAAGCATTTTTTTTACGATTAATTTTATACCACACACTTTGTATTTCGAGTCCAATTGTCGTTATGAACCGCATGTTACAATTTCAAATAAATCATATGCGAAAATGTCCAAAGTTGACACATGATATGTCATTCTATTCACAGTGATATTTTCTATCGAATAAAGTAAAAAATACCGAGTGTGCAATTTAAAAATAAAAGTTGTAGTCATTTCCGGAATCGACCGAAAACAATTGAATATGTCAATCAATCCTAATTTATGTCAGATACTAACACGGCAAATCGCATTGTTTTATCTGGAAAGATAAAAAAGTTATAGGTGTGAACCACTTTTGAGACGCACCCATAGCTAACTCGATATGCCTATCTAGAACTGTTTTAAGCATTAAAAACAACTTTAAAAGTTTTAATTTCAAGTTGAAACTAAAATATTAAAATATGCTTGATAACAGATTACAAATAAAAAAAATAATGTTATTTAAGAAAATTAAAAAAACTTTTTTAATGTTTGAACACTCTGTTTGTTTATAACACATTTACTGGAACTTTTTTTTCTTATTTTTTTATCGCCCTTGAAATTTGGTAGTACGTTTTTCGTACAAAACATCCTGTATATCTAATCGACAATCCTCTTAATAGAAATTGGCAAGCCTTATATTTTAAAGGACAGCTAAGAAATTGTAATATTTTATCATATTTGTGCACCAAATGAGAAAATAAAATATTTCTCTAATGTTAAGACGAAACTACAACTTATCAATTAAATGTAGTAAAGCTGTAGTCCCTTTAGAGACTTAGAGCTTTTCTAAAATGATTGAAGTAGAACTTACTGACCTAAATCTTAACCTACGTCGCAAAATATTTTACCTTGATCGATACAGGATGCTACGTAAAGATTTTTGAACATATAGTGCCCTTTTTAGTAAATGAAGATACGTTTTAACAGTTCAGTCAGTTTGCGTGTTGTAAAGGTATTAAATATATGGAAGAATAATGTTGGATGAAATCGATATTGAATACATGAGGGGTAGTTACAGGTAGTTCTACGACATTCATTACACTGATTTACTAAAAGCGGTTTGAAACGTATATTTATTACATGTTTTTTTTAGAAAATTATGCCATTAATAATCCATAGGGTCCCTGGTGAATATGTCGACACTTCTTTAGCTTTAAAATAACTTTTGCCTTCAAAATTTCAAAGAAATAAAAGTCATTGGAAGAAAATTATATAAAATCGAAAAAATATTAAGAGTTGAACATACTGTAGCTACGAAATAAAGAAAAATCGGACCTATGTTGATCTCCCCACGAGAGATGGCACATGTTTTTTGAGACATCCTGTCTAAGCTCAGTAGTTTTAGGATTGATATTAGTTGTGAAGTAGTCACTTGAAAACAATCTACATCTCATTTTTCTGATAGTATTTTTGTCTAAGTTATATTCCTGATTCCCAGCTTGTATTAATCAGTTAATTTTAGTAAATCAGTATTTTTTCTAACTAATATACATACTGGTGTAGTGGACAGTGTTAATTACTAATTTAAAAGTGTCTTATTAATTTAAAGATTTTTGTCTACCTGGCTCTACCGGAAATGGAGTTGGACGACCACGGTTTAAGTGGTGATATGATCGATTATTAAAAATATGAGGACCTTCGGATGGTACTGGAGCCAAGGTGGTCGTCGATTCCATGATCTTCTCCTCTAACTTCGGCGGCTCTTCCGATGTCGTTTTGATGGGCGATGGTGCCACTTCTCTCTTGAAGAGAAAACTTGCACGTGGCGCCATTATAACCTAAAAAAGAATAATAATAAAAGAAATTGTGGTGACAATGTTGAAAGCGACATTCCTACTCTATCCTTGGTGATACTCGAATATCGAGAAACGTCCATAGAGTAATAACAAAAACACGTCTGTCAACGGTCAACGATGTCACACACACACTCTCACAACACACTCTCAACAATTACTACGAATAAATTTACTCAGCCTTCTTTAAACTGTGTATTTGATTAAAGTATTTTAATAAAGTGTGTACTAATAAGTTTACATCATATTAATTGATAATCCAAACCGTTAGTACCACAATTGGTGACCCCGGAATTACCTCGAACACGCAACAATCGATTAAATTCTCGTCATGAACGACATGAACGAAGCGAACCCAACGAATACACCCGCAGAGCGAGCTCAACACGTGGATCGAGTGGCTATCAAACCACCACCGTTCTGGAAGGCCGATCCGAAACTGTGGTTTGTTCAACTGGAAGCACAATTTGCTCTATCAAGTATTACAGCAGACCTAACAAAATACAACCATGTGCTTAGTGTTGTGGACACGAGTATTTTAAGTCAAATATCAGAACTACTCCTAAACCCACCTGCGGACAATAAGTACAACGCTATCAAAGACAGATTAATCTCAATATATTCAGATTCTCAGGAGAAGAAATTAAAAACTCTCTTGTCAGACATGAATCTCGGCGACAAAAAACCTTCGCAGCTATTAAATGAGATGACACGTTTAGGAGGTTCATCAGTTTCATGTGAATTACTGAAAACCCTGTTAATGCAACATTTACCTGCACAGATGCAATCAGTATTAGCCACCAGTAATGACAATCTAGACAATTTGGCGAAAATGGCAGACAAAATCGCAGAGATTGAACAACCCCGCAACTTCGCAGTGCACAACAACGATCCTTCACTTACTGATACCATCCGAAAGCTCTACAAAGAAGTTCAAGAGTTGAAACTACAGCATCCTCGTCGTGAGCAATCACCACGGAAAAGGTCGAAAACAGTCAGCCCCAGGAGGAGGCTGGTGAAGTCTGTTGGTACCATCTTCATTTCAAGGACCGTGCAAGATCATGCAGAGCGCCTTGCAAGAAGGGCCCCATCCAGGAAAACGACACTTCACGACGTTAAGGGCGACGAACGCCGTGAACCCTACCAGTCGCCTTACCAACCCTCCTGCTACAGTCAACTCTACCTTCTCTAACAACCATCGGTTAGTTATTAAGGACCCTAAAACAGGTATATCATTTTTAATAGATTCAGGTTCTGATGTTTCCATTTTACCTAAAATGACACGTAATTATGATCAACATAATAAAACTTGTTTATATGCCGCTAATAACACCCTGATTCCCACGTTTGGTACAAAGAGTGTTACTGTCAGCTTGGGTTTAAAACGGAACTTCACCTGGCATTTCGTAATAGCTCAAACTGATACTGCCATTTTAGGAGCAGATTTTCTACATCATTTTCGACTATTAATAGACCTTCATGGGAAGAAAATTATTGATACTAGCACTAACTTATCTTATCCTGGTAAACTTAAACTTTCCTCATCTGACTCTGTATCAACAATTGACAAAAATTGTAAATATTTTAAGCTACTCGAGAAATATTCCGCCATTACAAAACTTTCGAAAACAGACTCTTATATTCCTCACCAAACTACACACATCATCCCTACAGATGGTCCACCAGTAGTGTCCAAAGCTCGTCGTCTCCCTGCTGATAAGCTTACCATTGCCAAACAAGAATTCCAAACTCTCTTAGACCAGGGAATTTGCCGTCCTTCAAACAGTAGCTGGGCAAGTCCACTGCATCTTGTTAAGAAAAAATCAGGTTCCTGGCGACCTCTTGGCGATTACCGTCGCTTAAATGCCATTACACGACCTGATAATTACCCTGTGCCTAACCTACAAGATTTCAATCACATTTTACATGGTAAAACAATTTTTAGCACCCTAGACCTTGTTAGAGCATATCATCAAATACCTGTCGATCCCGAATCTATTCCGAAAACAGCCATAATCACACCCTTTGGTTTGTTCGAATTTACTCGTATGCAATTTGGTCTACGCAACGCAGCTCAATCCTTTCAACGTTTCATTCACGAAGTCTTACGCAATCTAGACTTCTGTTTTTCCTATATTGACGACATCCTTATAGCATCCTCTAGTCCAGAGCAGCATGAAGTTCATCTTCGACAAATTTTTCAACGCCTACAACAATATGGTCTCACGATCAATCTCGAAAAATGTGTCTTTGGCGAGAGTTGCATAAAATTTTTAGGTTACGAAATATCTTCGAATGGTACTAGACCACTTCCAGATCGAGTAACAACCATTTTAGACTACCCTCTACCTAAATTCGCTTGTGATTTGAGACGGTATCTTGGAATGTTGAACTTCTACCGCCGTTTTACCCCTCATGCAGCTGATCATCAAACTATCCTTCACCAGATGCACAAGAATTGCAAAAAGTCTGATAAAACGCCATTATCATGGACTTCTGAAGCTTTATCTGCATTCGAAAAATCTAAAAATGATTTAGCCAATGCAGCCTTGCTTGTTCATCCTCATTCTTCTTTCCCACTCTCTCTTACAGTGGACGCATCTAACAGCGCTCTAGGAGCTGTTGTTGAACAATACGAAAACGGAATTTGGAAACCCCTTAGTTTTTTTTCACGTAAATTCACCCCTAGCGAAACGAAATACAGCACATACGACCGTGAACTTCTTGGAATTTATTCGGCTGTAAAATATTTCAAATATTTGTTAGAAGGCCGTAATTTCCAAATATTCACCGACCACAAACCACTCACATACGCTTTTCGACAAAAATCCGACAAAGCTTCACCACGCCAAACACGTCATCTTGATTATATTTCACAGTTTTCCACTGATATAATCCACATCAGTGGTAAAAATAATATTGTCGCAGATGCTCTTTCACGGATTAATTCTATTAATTCTCGAGATGTAATCGATTACGATGAATTTCAGAGACATCAAAAAGATGATCCTGAACTTCAACAAATTCTTCAAAACCCCAACTCAACTTCCCTATCGCTTAAAGAGTGTACCTTTGCAGACACTTCTACAATGCTCTTTTGTGATTGTAGTCAATCACACATTAGGCCATTTGTACCTTTAAGCTTCAGACAGCTTATTTTCAAAAAATTCCATAACCTTTCTCATCCAGGCATACGAGCTACTAATAAATTGATATCTTCACGCTTCGTTTGGCCTTCGATGAATAAAGACATCAAAGTATGGACACGAGCGTGTATAACATGCCAACAGTCCAAAATACATAGACATACCCTTACACCATATCAACAATTTCAAATACCCGAAGAACGATTTCAGATTGTAAATATCGACATTATTGGTCCCTTACCCTCTTCTAATGGTTATTCTTATTGCCTTACTTGTATTGACCGATTTTCTTGTTGGGCCGAAGCAATCCCTTTGAGCAATATAACTGCTGAAACTATCGCATCCGCCTTTTATTCTGGTTGGATATGCCGTTTTGGAACTCCACTAAAAATTGTTACTGACCAAGGTCGTCAATTCGAAAGTTCTCTATTTCAAAGTCTCAGCATATTAATGGGATGTAAGCGAGTTCGATCTTCACCATACAATCCCAAATGTAATGGAAAGATTGAACGATGGCATCGAACTTTAAAAGCCGCTATAATGGCGCATTCTTCTCCACAATGGACAGAAGTTTTACCTACGGTACTGTTAGGATTACGTGCTACTCTTCGCTCAGACGTGGAAGTTTCCCCTGCTGAACTAGTTTACGGTTCTTCCATACGTTTACCAGGCGAATTTTTTCAAACTTCTAACACTCATACCGATCCTTCGACATTCCTTACGCTATTAAAAAACAAAATGGAAATGTTAAGACCTGTACCTGATAGTAACCACTCTAGTTCAAAACCTTTTATATCACCCGAATTGGAGAAATGTACTCATGTATTTTTACGAAGAGATTCTGTAAGAAAACCTCTACAACCTCCTTATGATGGACCTTATCGTGTAATATCTCGACATGAGAAATATTTCAACATTGCAATTAATGGTAAAAACGTTAACATTTCTAAAGATAGACTCAAACCTGCATATTTACTTGCACCTGACAATATTTCTCATGATCACTCTTACTGTAAAGAACTGTCTTCGGTTACAGAAACTAGCAAATGTATAACATTCAAAAAAAAACAAGTTCGTTTTTATTTATAGAATAATCTTTGTATTAGTATTACACTAGTTTAAGTTAAATACATACATTTACATTTACATACAAATGTTTAGTCATAATGAATACCTTTTTATTGTATTAATGTATTATTATGTTTTGTAATATCCTATACTATTTTCTACCAACTCCGTTTTTTAGGGGGGAGTATTGTGGTGACAATGTTGAAAGCGACATTCCTACTCTATCCTTGGTGATACTCGAATATCGAGAAACGTCCATAGAGTAATAACAAAAACACGTCTGTCAACGGTCAACGATGTCACACACACACTCTAACAACACACTCTCAACAATTACTACGAATAAGTTTACTCAGCCTTCTTTAAACTGTGTATTTGATTAAAGTATTTTAATAAAGTGTGTACTAATAAGTTTACATCATATTAATTGATAACCCAAACCGTTAGTACCACAAAATTATATATTGACATTTAGAGGCGGGAAGTTTAGTTCACTTCAAAAGGCTAGTTTGTTTAGTTCATTTAGTACGAATCAAGTGCTGTTTTGCCGTCTTACGTTAGAGATGGAATCCAGCGCCGGCTAAGGATTAAGTAATTGTTGTTTATATATTAATGCTATATAAATAAAGTAATAGGCGCCAGAGTTCATAGTTGTTGAAATGAAGATCGCAGTAATTTTATACTAAGGACTGGCAAAGGTTAGTCTTGGGTCGAGATTTCCGTATGTAAGAAGAGCACAATGCGTTTATAATGTACTGAACAAAGAGAGAACAGTAAACACGTTGCCAAACGTACGAACTAAACCGAGAAACTGCGCATATTGCTAAGAGACGTGGAAGGGGATACAGCAGATTTGTCGCAGTCCACCGGTCGACCCAATCAGTACCTCTGTCAGTACATAAAGTTCAAAGGAAAGGCGTTCAGCTTAACGATTTAATTACGTCTCACGATACTTTATTTGTTTATTTATTAACGAGTCGTTGTAATTTTCCCTATAGCTTGAAAATGTTTAAGTGCAAGTTAGAAACACTTGCATTTTTGGTAAAAATAATTGTAATTGAGTTGGTGTTCGACAGTGGTCGCTCTATCTCTGAATTCAAAATGTCTCTCTGAATTCAAAATGAATCGATATCTCAAAATCTATTAAAAATAATTGATTGTAGTTTTTTCAAAAACTTTCTTAACACTTCTGCTATATTTTTTTCACAGACAGGATGTGAAAATCTTTATAAATAAAAAAGTTACACGATTGCTGAAAATGTTAATTTTTGAAAGAAAAAGAAACAACCTTATCGAATTTTTCTTATTTAATCATATTGTAAAAGATCCGATCTTCAAAATAAAAAGTTTCAATATCTAAAGTGGTTCTTAAGTTATGGCTTGTTATGTGTTAAAAAGTTGAGTTTTTAATTTATCGCGTTATATCGTTATAAAAAAAATGGGCACCCTAACGATATTCTTATAATTCCATTTCAGATGCGCAGAAACATATCTAATGATTTTATCTAGTTATCTTTTCGAAAAAAAAGTCGTTTAAAAATAATATAAGCGGTTTGCGATCGTGATTTTACTTTACCTGATAGGGAAAGGCGTACCGGTAACGCCGCAACAGCACACCGTCACATTTCTCTCATTCCGACTTAATAAGATCCCTATGCGATTTACTTCCACACATGTAAGTACCGACCCAAAAGTAACGATTGCCAGCACGGTATATAAAAATTATATAGTGATGTCATCGATCGAACCGAACCGATCATTCTAACCGAACTTGTTTTTTTATATATATTAGAGTTTTAAATTAAAATAAAATTTTAGGCTACCCACGATAAGCTATATTCTTTGTGTTCATGGCGGCAACAAACGCCGCACTCTCTGTTCGATTGAAAGAAAGACACATTCGTTTTGCTCATTTCGTTCACTGACCGATTTCCATCTTTCGGTCTCGATCACTAGAATAGTACAAAAGAAAAATTAG